CGGCAAAAATTCCCCGTAACCACGCATAAACAAGTTCGGGTCTGTCTAACTCCCCGGAGGAGACTCGCCCCTTCGGCATAGCCTCGTCCGGATTCCTTTCTGCCCAAACACAGAGAGTTCGACAGCAGCTGAGAGCTGAATAACAGATTCCAACTAGTATATTTAGCTAGCCACCACGAGGGCTGCATGTGGCACAAGGCCAGTTTAACGTGGGTTCTCCGAGTCCGTAGGCTCGGCCAAAAATATTCCCTTTTTGAACCCGTATAAACGGGTTCAGGGTCAGTCTACCTCCCCCGAACGAGACTCTGCCTTTCGGCGGAGCCTCGTCCGGGTTCCTCTCTGCCTTCGGACAAAGAGTTCAACTGTTTAGCTAGAACAGGTCGCAGCTAGTATATTTAGCTACCCACCCACGAGGGTTGCATGTGGCACAAGGCCGGATTAACGTGGGTTCTTCGAACGCGTAGGCTCGGCCAAAAAATTCCCTTTCGAACCCGTATAAATGGGCTCAGGGTCAGTCTACCTCCCCCGAACGAAACTCTGCCCTTCGGCGGAGCCTCGTCCGGGTTCCTCTGACTTCGGGAAGAGAGTTCGACTGTTTAGCTGGAACAGGTCGCAGCTAGTATATTTAGCTACCCCTCCACGAGGACATCATGTGGCACACGGCCGGTTTAACGTGGGTTCTCCGAGCCCGTAGGCTCGGCCAAAAATATTCCCTTTCGAACCCGTATAAACGGGTTCAGGGTCAGTCTACCTCCCCCGAACGAGACTCTGCCCTTCGGCGGAGCCTCGTCCGGGTTCCTCTCTGTCCGAAAGCAGAGAGTTCGACTGTCTAGCTGGTAATTACTACCTACAGGGGAGTCACTCATGGGGGTGAGAGGTTATTCCATTACATCAATAAACAAAAACCTTTTTTCCTGAACAAGCTGAAATTTATTTTTGCTATTATTCACACAATACAAGGCACAAGAGCCACTCAGATAGAGAGTTACTAAACGAGATTTTAATAAAGGTATACAGGTAGGGAACAAAAGGTATATATTATGAGGATATGTAGGATAGATAATGGTTGAAGCTCAGAAGTTAAGATTGTAGTGATCGGGGAAGCATCCTCTCGGTAGTCTGTTCCGTTATGCCACTGTTCTAGGGAAGAAGCCGAGTGGAACTTCCTCCTCACCAATGGAATATGAAGAGAATGAGGATGAGTCTACTCAGTGTACGTAGACTGGTGGGTCATAACTGTGGAAGTTTGGACTAGGGAACCCACGGTTTGTATGAGTAACGAGAAGCTAGTACTGGTTCATCTCTTATGCAGTCAAATACGGCAATTGTATTTTTCGTATCTTCCAGTTATCTGATGAATTCTTATGAGTTCCTTTGTACTCTATGGATCAGGGGACTGGAAGCTATTTTTTTTTCTGAATACTGACTTTTTAATTGGTTTCTTGATGGGTTCTTTCTAAATTCGAAGCCTTGTTTCTACCTTCAAACGAGCCATAGACAGACTGATGTTCCTCTGTAATGCTCTAGCAACTAAATTCTTATTTCGATAGGACATCTATTTTTGAGTCTAGCACTTTTAAGCCATGATTTTCTTGATCACGCTTCCATATTTACCAACTGTCTAATTTTGCTCATCTGATTCACATTTTGATAAGCACTGATTCCGAAGTTCATAACTCTTATCGTGTTCGAAATCGGACAAATTAGGTTTTAATTTTAGATTTGACACTGTTTACTAAAAAAAGATGATAAATTGAATTTTGAATTTTGATATCGCCTGAATTGTCAATAATGTATAAAGTTCAAGGGCAACAAAAATTTTCAAAATTCTCACGATCACTGAAGCAATGTTTATAATACGATCAGCCTAAAAAGAGAATTAATAGATGAATTAGTGGATTAATGGATGAATTAATGAAACCATTTAGATCAACACAAAAAACTATAGGTTTTAGAATAATTAAACCCTTATTTATATAAAACAAAAGATCAACTCTTAAAAATATCAACTCCAAGAATAATATACTGATCGTGTTCGTAAATTTAAAATATAGCCACATCTCAGAAACCTTTACATTACTTGCAATATATTTGCCCAACATCTCATACCATTTTGGAATCAGGCCAACTCCGTGAGCAAATTAAAAATTTCGGGGTCAAATCCGGACCCGCAATCTTGAAATTTTGGATTCCCAAAATTTTCATTATTGCGATTGTTTTCGGCGATTTTTTATGTGATGTTTTTGCGAAGAATTTTTTTGCACGATTTATTTATTATTACTAGAAAATAAATAGTAGTACACGATGAAAACAAAAATTACATCATATGGAGATAGACCTATTTTAACCGACGAAAATTTGTCAGTCTTATTCAAGCCTAATATATAAACTGAGTTTGTGTCGGAATTAGAAATTTAACTGTGACAACTGAATACAGAATTTATCAATTTCAATGTTTCAGTCAGACGGAAGGCATGAGACAGTTGTCAGGCGAGGGTGGAAGGTATTAGCCTTAAACGGAAGAGGTTTTATAAAATTAAACTCGGATATTAAATTTATGACATTAAATTACGGTTATATGAAGAATGAAGTGTTAATTTGAAACTAAGAGAGGAACGAAAATTGTTTTTCTTTTTTAATTATATAGGTAAGGTTAAGTTTAAAAATACAACTTAAAAATACTCTTCCAAAGATATATTTAAATAAAAAAATTATATTTATTTAAATTAATATTAAAATTATATTTAAAAATTTATAATTAATGAAAAATTGCTTATACTAAAGAATAAAAAATATTTAAAAAATAAAAGATGATAAAATAAATTATACAATAGAAAAAAAATTGACTTTAAAGATAAGTTAAATCAAAAACAAGTTATATTTTAAAAAAGGCACATAAAAACACAAAATTATATTTTAAATTTTTTAGATTTATAGGTGTAAGGGATAAAAGGAAAGAGATTTCTTAGAACAGGGGACAATTATAAGATATAATTAATATAGTGTAAAAATGGAAATATAGAAATTAGAATTAGTTATATATTCGACATTTGAAAAGTTAGAGAAATATTATAGCTAATAATGTAAAATTCTACAGGAATGCACATTCGTGAGAGTTGATAATTAAAATGTACTCACTGACAAGTTTCGAAACAGCGTCCTATTTTCTGCGTAGTGGGAGAAGAAGCATCTGGCATAATTTAAACTGTCCATAAAGTCCGTCACAGCCAAACAAGGTTAAATAAAACCTTCTAAAAGAATGCACATCCTCCCGTTCAGATCTTCTCGAAAGTCTAGATCTGCTGACCATTTTTTTATCGGAAAAGTAAACAAATTAATTTCTAAGGAATTCATGGATTTTATACGCTTAGAGTAATATCTCTATCTGTAAAAGGCAGGATGTGTGTGTGTGTGTGCGTGTGTGTGTGTGTGTGTGCGTGTGTGTGTGTATGTGTGTGTGTGTGTGACGAATGCACGGCCGCAATTTTCGACAGATTTGCACCAAAATTTACATGCACATGCTCCAACTTAGCGAGAAGACCAAGACCCACTTTGCATTTCCCAACTCCCATCGATAGTGTAAATAATCGATTTTTTTCATGCTTCTACGGCAGTTTTCATGTAGTTTGCGGCCATCTTCTACTGGCCAGAGTGAGAGCCTATAGCTGGCTGCCACGAATAGGCAGGAAGATTCTATTGGCCAGCGTGAGAGCCAACAGCTGACAGACACGAATGTTAACTAGCATGCTAGCATGCAAAAAAAAATCGATAGCTGCATTTTTCACAAGTGGGAAAAATGTAAATCAGCATGGCACTTTACTCCAATTGGCTCATTCGCTTGCTTAAACTCAACGTTGATTCTGATTCCGCAGAACTGGGTTGGGTGTGAAAAAGTATTTGTTGTTAACATTCTTTTTTCATTCGGTTTTTCCAGTTACGAGTCCTTTTTTAAAGCTGATCGTTTTGTGTTCATTTTGTTTAGTTCTTTTTTCGTAACAGATTTAATGTTTAGTATAGAGCTTAGAAAAAATCGCAGTGTGAGATAGTCAAGAAGTAAGGCATGTAGCAACATCAGCACGGCTAAGGGCACTCCTTTAAGGTCAAGGAAGGGCAAAAATATTTTAAGTCAAGTGATAGCGATTGCTGTATGAGTCGTACGATTTTTTAATCAAGCACGGGCAACGCCGGGCCATGCTGCTAATATATAGATATATATCAAGGCAAATATGACCAATGTATATAATATAACTATTTTTGATCTTGTATATAAATACTTGTCGCAAAAAAAAAAATCCTTATATTTTCTTTGTTAAAATCACTCGGAGGACTAAATGCGTCGGCTAAGATAAGCTTTCCTTTTGTTTTCATTAATATTGTCTTTTTATAGATGTGCTCATCCTGAAATTTTTAAAACGATTTTTTTCTTATGCAATCTAATTAAATTCATCTATATTCTTTGTTATTAAATATCCCACATTGTGATAACGGAAAATCTGCCAAGAATGGTGAAACGTTTTAAGAACCTGGACGTAAATTTTGAAACTACCAGCGTCTTTCGTTCATGAGCATGCGTAGTCACAACAGCGGCAACAAACGACAAAGTCCTAACGCATGAAAAGCGTCACACATTGTTTCTAATTTGTCATACATCTTTTCTTTGAAAACTATTCTTGATATATAAAAATTTATATAAAGATTTATATATATTTATCCCATACTCTCAGTAAAATTTTGCTTTTTATACCCGGAGTTATATTTTCCGATTTCTTTTTGAATTTGTAGGTCTGATGAATTGGATTGTGATTACGATTCCAATGTAATAAATTATAACCATGGAGTATTAGTGTTTGAGCCTTTTATATTATATTATATATATATTTATATATATATATACTAAAGAAATTTCCAAACAGGCCCTGGATGAACAGGACTACAGATAGAGAAAGCAGTTTTGAAGTGGGTTATGTACCAACCTAAAATTTGTGTAACGATAAACATCGATGATTGTCTGGTTTATCATGTCGTTCCTGAATGCTAATATTGTCGCCATTTTGACAAGCCTCATGTGACGCGATCATTTTCGTCATTTTCTTTTGATTCCGATCTTTTCGTGTTTACATTTTATAAAAATCGATGGAAATCAAATGGGATTTTTCATAGGAAAATGTCGAAAATGATCAACTCTTTTAAAATATTTTTATTTCATAGTTTTCTCTTAACTTTCCATGATTTTATTTCCTGTCTGTAATGGACGCGCACTCAATAAACTATCAATTATGAAGGTTTCTGAAACCTAATTATACATAATAAAATCACTCAATGGCAGTACATTTTGAGATGCTTTCTTTTATATATCTATATATATATATATATATATATATATATATATATATATATATATATATATATTTTTTTTTCTCTCTATCCTTCTCGATTTCTATATTTTGTTGTCTCATCGAATCTATTGTCTTAACTTTCGCTTTCTCTTTCGAGTTTGTCTGCCTGTCTGTCTCTCTCTCTTGTCTCTATCTTATTTATGTTATATATATATATATATATATATATATATATATATATATATATATATATATATATATATATAATGTTAATGTTCAGTTGAATCAGTCCTGAAAACAGTAACATTAAAAAGTGCTCAATACACGTGTGAAAAAGAAAATAACATACTAGACTCAACTGATCTCCTATTTTTAAAGCATATATATATATATATATATATATATATATATATATATATATATATATTTCTATTTCTATATTTTCCTGTCTTATTGAATCTATTGTCTTAACTTTCAGTTTTTCTTTCGAGTCTGTCTGTCTGTCTCTCTCTCTCTCTCTCTCTCTCTCTCTCTCTCTCTCTCTCTGTGTGTGTCTCTCCACACACACACACACACTTCCTTTTTAATAAACTCACAACAATTGCTGTTCACAAACGGTAATGAAGAGAAACATCTCTTGGACTATTTGAATTTCCCGATTGTTTTAGGAAGGATGTCATGAAGGCTCCCCGTGCTTTTTACTCAAAGCATACGACAAAGGACTTTGGCAATTTTACGAAAGACATAGAGGATAACTATTGCTTGTCCCCCATGCTGTTCTGTCATGACATTCATTTGTCAACTGCCCTTTGGCGATCGACCAGTTTTAGAGCGTTTCCTCCCCAGGATTTGACAAGCGGGCCAACCCTCAAAAATAAGTGGACGCGTAGCAGCCACTTTGTTCTCGTCTGGACAGTCAGATCTGAAATGTCTGAAACGCACAACTCTGGTAAACATTGACAGAATGACAGATGAACTATGAAATGCATTTACTATGATTTCTGGTAATCGTTTTGATTTTATATTATGGAAGACGTACTGGTCTACTAACATACACTTTAAACACGCCGAATTTCAAAACTGTTACACCTAACATATTCATAAAGGAAAAAGAAAAGAATTCAGTCATTTTCTAACCCTGGATGATAGTGTTGTATCATTCTCTCATGTTTTTTTGTATTTTCAATTTTAATTATTCTGTATTATAATGTACAAACCATAATTTTAAACGTTTTCGATATTTTCGCTACAAATTCTTGGAACCCTTCACCAACTATAGCCCATTATTCCAGAAATTATTCGGATTAGTATTCTCATCTTTTTTGTTTTCACTTCAACATTTCGTCCAATATATTCTTCAGCCTTCTTCCGATATATTTTCTGAGTTATAATTATAAATAATAAGTAAATTTCTACTGGTTCACTCTCTCTCTCTCTCTCTCTCTCTCTCTCTCTCTCTCTCTGAAACATACACAAAAACACGCTCTCTCTCTCTTTTATTTCTTACCAAACTTGTTGAAAGGGTCTCTTTCTTCCTTCTTTCATTTGTCTGCCTACCTCTTCTTCACTCACTCATTCTCTTTTTCTCTCTTTATCTTTTATCCCACACACATACAGACACACATACATACATACATTTTATCTTTTATTTCAATAGAAAATCTTAATTGTTTATTCTTATTCTCCCCCTCTCCTTACATTTCAGTCTTTCTCTCACTCTTAATCCTTCATTTTTATCTATCTCTACCTCCCTCTCCTTCTCCTCTCTCTCTCTCTCTCTCTCTCTCTCTCTTATTTTCACTCGTTCTCTCTCACTTCCTTATTATCATTCTTTCTTTCTATTTCTCTTTATATTTTCACTCTTTCTTCCTTACAGGTTCTTTCTTTCCTCTCTCTCTCTCTCTCTCTCTCTCTCTCTCTCTGCCTTGTTCTCATTCATACTCATTCTCTCTTTATCCCTTATTTTCCTCTTTCTCTCACTTTCTTTGTTCTGAAGATTTTCGTTCTTCAACCCTTGTTTTTACTCTTCTGTCTCTTTTCCTTATTCTCTCTCTACTTCTTCTTTCCACTCTTTCTCACTCTCTTCTCTGCTGTCAATCTTTCTCTCACCTTTTCTTTTTCCATTATTTCTCTCTTTTTATTCCTTTATTTTTACTCTTTCTCTCTCAATCAATCTTAATTGTTTATTTTTATTCTCCCCCTCTCCTTACATTTCAGTCTTTCTCTCACTCTTAATCCTTCATTTTTATCTATCTCTACCTCCCTCTCCTTCTCCTCTCTCTCTGTCTCTCTTTCTCTCTCTCTGTCTCTCTCTCTCTCTCTCTTTCCCTCTATCTCTTCCTTCTTATCAGTTTTTCTCTCCGAAAAATTATTTCACATAGATTGCTATCACTTTTACTCTTTAACCTTTATTTTCACTCTTTCTCACTCACCCTTATTTTCTCTCTCGCTCTCTTTTCTTATTCTCACATCTACATATCCTTTTTTAGCAGACCGACCTTTCTCCTCTTCTCTTCTCCTTTCAACACTTGATGTTTTAATCTCTCTCTTCTGTTCTCTAGACAAAAACACGGTGGATTCCTACTCTCTCTTTTATTTCTTACCAAACTTGTTGTTCTCTCTTTTTTTACCATTTTGAGGACCTACAGGAGAGTACCGAGTTTCATTTGTCAGCCTACCTCGAATCCATTTCTCTTTTCTCTCTTTATCTTTTATCCCACACACATACAGACACACATACATAGATACATATTTTTCTCAAAATTACCCCACTTCCGCCAATGAAAATTAAATTGCATTGTGAACCCTAATCTTCGTTTCAACTCCCCTTGATGTTTTAATTACTTTCTGTTAAAAGAAAGCACGGGAGTAATGGATAGCGGCTTCTATTGAGGAATCGGATGAGTTCAATTGGTCGAATCCGAGAAGGAAAACCCTTGGGAAAGGTGTGAATCAAACTTCTTCTCCCTCCAGCTATGGGTAAAAAAAGACTGGGTTCCAAGGAGCGATCTAGTCTGGGAGAAGGAAAACTCTGAATTCAAACCTGCTCGGCTTCTGGTCGTTCGGTAACCTGTCTCTGCGTCTGTGGGAAGCCCGCGGCAAGCAAGAACGTTATCCGAGTAGGCCTGGGTACCCTACTCATGTAATTTATCCCAAGAATCTTCTTCTCATAACAGGAAGAAGCCGGCTCAATCCGCCCAGGGTGAATGCCGCATCAATACAATAAAATAAATACAATCGAACACCGCTTTGATAACAAATAAATGTATTTTAATACAGTGAAGGTAAAGTAATAGATTGAAATCGGAGAGCCGAGTTCGAATTCCACTCAAATCATGGCAATTGCTCCGGGAAGCTGCATTCGCTGGTTCCCAGACTTCATGAGTTCAAGCACCCTACGAGGCTAGCATCCCGCGCTCACCCTTTCACTGTCGAAACTCCTAAATGTAGCCGTCTCTTCTACTCCAATAGCTTCATGTTTCGCACCTCTCACCTGTGGACTCCCTTCCCTATTCCAGTTTCCCTGAGAGCTATAATCTCCAGCTATTCATATGTAATGTCAATCAACATCTCCAGTTGCCTTGATCTATCCACTACCCTTCTCCCCATCCTTTCTTCTATCACTCCTATCTGATCTTGCTCCAAATTTTCTGTAACCCCTTGCCTCCTAGTGGCTTGTCGCCTTGCTTGGGGTGAAACGCTTAAAAAAAATCCATTACATTCACTTACGTTGAGAAAGGTATGAATCCTCTTTTTCTCCCTCAGCTATGGGTAAATAGCAGGATAGACTAAGTTCTATAGCCTTGGATGGCAACTAGTCTACTGCATAAAGAAATGGCAACCTACTGCGGGAAAAAAGTCAGTCAGTCATGTATCGAAAGATACATGATAGCTTAAGCGTGTATCACGCATAGCACATAAATGACTGATCCTCAACCAAAAGTGTCCTGATAGATAATTTAAATGGGTCTGGAGATTTCTACTACATTTTTGCTTTTGTAAATCATAAGTTATTTCCTGTTACATGGAATTTCTATTTGTGCTTATATGGGCCTGAAATTTATTTGCCACCATAACTAGGCCACAAGGAAAAAAGGTTGTGAAAGATTGTTTTAATACCTACTGCTGTTGCTAGCATCCCGAACTGAGATGCCTAAACATGTCAAGTAAACACTGACCTAAACACGTTATTTGTTATTTTGGCTGCTGGATATTTGATAAAAAATCAATATATTTTAAAGCATACATTAGCAAACTGATAATCGTTTCTCGGTTTATCTATAAAAACAGATCTGCCCATAAAATTAAAACAATTCCCTAATAACATCAGATCATTCCACGATAAAATTATCGTTTCATGACATTGATATTTGTTGTGTAAAGAAACGATTAGTATTAATAAATATCAGTAGAATTATTATTCAACTAAACTGTACTGTATTTTAACCATTCTGCACAAACATGGTGATAATGTCACTAAGATGCACGGTGGTTACGGGGAGTGAAAAAGAATGAGAATAATTTAGTTAAGAGAAAAGGCAATAAAAGAACAAGTTTCAAGAAAACAGAAAATAGCGATTGACGTTGCATTTAAAATCTTATTGTAGGTATCAGGGAAGCAAGAAATATGAAGAGATTTCCACAGTCGAGAAGTGCGAGAAAAGAAATTATTAGAATAGAACTTATGGTTGCGTCTAGCTAGTTCAGCAAGAAAAAAGGTGAGACCTAGTTGCCAATCTAGTACTGCGCTTGAATTCATGCAGTCGGGGAATCAAAGAGGAAAGCTCGTCAGAATAATTGCCAGGAAACTCTTTAATAGAAAAGAGAGAAGCTATGTCATGGCAGTAGGAAAGTGACTGAAGTCGAGATGCCGGGTAGAGACACTTCTTTGGATATTGTCAGGAATCTCGAGATATATTTGGAACACCAGATCAGATATGGTAGCACTATTCAATGGACGGACGAACGGTAGATTTATAAATGTGCAGGATGAATTCTGAAGAGAAAGATTGTCCGGCTTAACACAATAGATTGAAAATAGAAGAATTTTCACCAAATAATCCCTTTTTATTCTTCTTCCACTTCTTGAGGACGTGGGTGATCATGGATCTTCACAACTTCCTACCGTTCTAAAAACGTTTCTTTCCTGTCTATCCCAGTCCATTCACTTCCACCATCTATTCGTTTCAGTGTTTCCTACTGCCTTTCTTGCTGCCTGTATATCAAATTCTACAAAACTATTTTTCTTATTATGTATCCTAGAAATTTCAATTATCTCTTTCTGATTTTAATTTCAAATGTTTTTTTTTTTTTAATTGTTTTTTTTTAACGCCTCCTCGTTGTTCGCACGTTCTATGCATGGTATTCTCAGTATCATTCTACAGAACAATATCAGTGTTGCTTCAAGCCTCCACCTCATTCAGAAAATTGTCCAGCAGTCACTGCTATATAGGATGGTTGAGATAAAACCGTTCTTGTGACGCAAGAGAAACTCGTCCAGTTCTATCTGGTTTAAAACACACATAAAAAATAAAAAAACAAATAATTATGAGAGAAAAAAATTGTCTGAATTTGCTAAGTGATAAATATGGCGTCGGGCTTACTTAGGTTTCACAAGATGTCATCCAGTTTTTATAGATCCGTAAACTAACACGAAACCATAGATGAAAGTATGAATTACAAACAATATCAGAGAAAAAAAACCGTATTTTCTTTAAGCGAAAAACAAAAATCAACAACCAAACCTTTTAATATTCACGTTTATCTCTTTATTTTCTCTTCCTGTTTTCTGATATTCTTTCTACGTCCCCTTCTCTCACTCTCTCTCTCTTTCTTTCTCTATCTTTCTTTCTCTTTTCCGCTTTCTCACTTTATCTTTCTCCCTCTCTCCCTTTTTGCTTCCCACACTTTCTATTCCTCTTTGTCTCTTTTTTTCTCTTTTTTTCCTCCCTCTCTCTCTCTCTTTCACGCCATTGTTACTGTTTCTCTTTTTTTCGTTATCTCCGACATTCTTTCTTTCTGCTACTACTTCCTCTCTCTCTTTCTCTCTCTCTCTCTTTGTGTTTCTGTACCTTTTTCTTTCTTTTTTCTCTTTCTCACTCCATCCTTACTGTTTCCCTTTCTTGTCGTTATCTCTAGCTTTCTTTCTGTTACTATCTCTCTATCTCTCTCTTTCTCTCGATATATATATATATATATATATATATATATATATATATATATATATCTTGATATATACATACATATATATATATATATATATATATATATATATATATATATATATATATATATATATATATATATATATATATGAAAAGTGTATATAAATATAAATAAATATATATATGTATAATTATTTATATATTATATGCGCGGTACTTATTAGAAAGCGCTCAATATCAGAGATGAGTTTGTCTGACGATCGCTAAAGCGTGAAACCCAGGGTCACAAACTCACATCTATCCATATATATATATATATATATATATATATATATATTGTTGTCTGTCTAAACATATTTGTAACTATATATATATATATATATATATATATATATATATATATATATATATATATATATATATATATATATATATATATTGTTGTCTGTCTAAACATATTTGTAACTGAAAGAAAACAGTTATGGAAAATAGCAAACCTGTAGAAAATCTAAGCAAAACAAAATAAATTATAATTTTCGGCTTATGTATCACAACACAAAACACAAACACACACACACAAACAAACAACCTCGGTTTTATAATAAGTATAACTCAATAACTCGATATTAATAAGTATAACTCGATAGGAGTTGTCCTCCTTTCATTAATGCCTCTTAATCGTGTTTTCAAATTGATTTTGTGCAAAAACAATTGTGTTTTTCCAATTTTTGGCGCTTTCAGAATCACCGCAAGGTAATTTTACGTAGTCCTGTGAAGTTTTGTTGAAATCGGTTGAAAATGTAGGAAATCCGATCCAATATATAAACGTACAGACACACACACACAATTTGCATTTTATAATAAGTAAGATTTTCATATTAGGGTCACGTCCGTCTCCTACGCGAAAAAAGCAAACCTATAGAAAATCTAAGCAAAAATAAAATAAATTATACTTTTCGGCTTATATATCACACCACAAAATCTAAATGGCAGAAATGTAATATGAAGACTGTGTTGCGTCAAATAAGAAGGCCAAGTACCTTTCAAAATCACCATACAAATTCCTGGCATTTTGTCTGGGCTGGAACAGCGACCACTATTAGTAAATACTCACTAATTCAGGCACTTGAGTAATTTAGAAATTTACTTGGCTTAGCTTAGTTTGACCAAGCATCACAAGTTTAGGGCACCTAGTGAGGATCAGTAGTAATGGTCATCTAGTCTATCTTATTAACCCTTACATACTCGAGACATCCATTTTTAATAATGTAGTGAGTACGCTTCTCTCAGAAAGTATACCACATTTTTGGCCTTCTATCAAATTAAAAAAACATCTCATCAAGGATAGATTTCTTCATTTGACTGGACATGAGCTAACTTTAACTCAAAGCACCTTTTGAAATTTTAAGCTGCCATAAAGTTATATACGAGATTAGATATTATATAACAGACCAGCACACTTTGCTTTCTTTCTAAGGACATTTTCCTATCTGCATAATTTCTGGAAAGCATAAAAAGCTTTGTATATTTCAGTTCAATACTCTTTTCGCTGTTTCTAAAGACATTTACTGATATCTTGATACTTTGCTTAGTTTCTGAAAGGCAACTTCCACTATTCTATGTGCCTTCTGATTTCTATGTCACTCTTTGTTGTCTGATACTGGCTTAATTTGAAATGAATTTCCATATATGATTTCCATATTTTATATATCACTATATCAATATCCTCTTCCGAGTGTTCTAAGTAATAGAACCCAAAATAAACCTTTCCAAAAGAGAAACCATAATCTGAAAATAGAATGGAAGCAGTGATGGCACCTACACCCTGAATCCATCATAAAAATTCAGGATGTGTAATTAGTAAACAATATAAACTTCAAATACCTCGTGTATGGATCAGTTATAATAAATTTGGTATAGGAGATAAAGAAATTGAACATAGAATAGACTTTGTTAAAGGTAGTTTCAAAAGACATTTACTGATATCTTGATACTTTGCTTAGTTTCTGAAAGGCAATTTCCATTATCCTAAGCTTCTATGTCACACTTTGCATTGTCTGACACTTGCTTAATTTTCAAGCCCCTGATACGAAATGAATTTCTATATATGATTTCAATATTTTATATGACACGATATCAATATCCTCTCCCGGGTGTTCTAAGTAATAGGACTCAAGATAAACCTTTCCAAAAGAGAAACTCTGATCTAGAAATGAAATGAATGCAGTGATGGCACCTACACCCTGAATCCATCATAAAATTTCAGAATGTGGAATTGGTAAACACTATAAAGTTCAAATACCTCGTGTATGGATCAGTTATAATAGATTTAATATAGGAGATAAGGACATTAGACATAGAATAGGGTGTGTTGGTGTTAGTTTCGCCCAGCAAAGCAAATTTCTTCAAAGCCAAAGCCTTCAAAACTCGAGTCATGTTCAAGACTTTATTATCGATGTCACGCATAACAAACTCGTTCAGAAAGATTCAAACTATCAGCTGTATACATTATAGCTGTATATATTTCTTAAATCAATGGTTGAAAATGGCTTCGAACGAATGAAGCTTGTAGATCCTAAAGAGGACCATAATTCTTCGAACTTTGTCGACTAGTGCTACAGAATCAGAAATAAATAACTGTACTAAATAACAGAAAACATAACAGTTTCAGTAACAGCAACAATTAAAATGGATAACTGAACGTGAAACTAATGACATAATCAATATGTTGTCGTTTCACACTGCTACAAAAGCTTAGAAAAAAACCGCTGTCAATACTGAAAAACGCAAAAACAGTCTTGAAAATGGTCTTGATAAACTTATTTTCATTAAAAATTGGCCTAACATTTTTATACATATCAACCGAGAATAACACTGGCTGCTCGGTCAATGAATGTTTCCTTATAAGGAAACGGCTAATATTGCCATTACCATATTTGTAGTCAACAGAATTAATGACGAATTTGTTTAATAAACCCTAGACATATTCCAGGTTACACAAGGAAAGATAATAATAAAATAATCAAAAGGAAGTATAATAAGCTATATAAATAATATTAACTTCCATTAAGAATGAAGAGAGAAACATATATTGCCGACATATCAAATACCTTTTGTAAACAATTGTTATCAACACCTGGTTACTTTGTGTTTTATTATCTATTGTGCTAACTATCTGTACTTTTAATCTGGCTGTTTCGAAGAGGTTTTTTAAGTTGAGTAATAAATTCTGAAAACGTGTATGCAATGACAAAAGTACACAGGTGTAGGATTTCAGAAAGAGAATACAATGTTCGTGTATAGTTTCCTTTTTGTCCCAGTAAACAGAAATAGCTCTCTCTCAAAGAGGAGAGTAACAAAACAAGGGGAGATCACTCTCGATTATTGATAACAGTGAATAATATGTAATACAACTCCCACTTGTTTCCCTTTCATTTTCATTCAAAATGTTTCGTATTATACACAAGAAAATACGGTACATAAACAGATACTAACTGATCATTTGTTTGTGTTATGCCTCATTGCATGAGAAGATTTTTTTTTCTATTTGCTCACAGTTTTCCAATTTATTCATTTCAGTTCAAATGCTGCGGAGTTGAAGGTGGTGTCAACTCAACATCATCCTGGGCTTATTACAAGAGAAATACTGAGTGGTATTTCAACCAGACCTCAGGTAAATATGCTTGCAAACGCCTTGCTTCGAACATTCGCAAAATACGTTTGCTTATTCATGCGTTCACTGCTAACGTTTAATGAAGTGTTGTTAAGAGAATCGTTTAATTTCAATGATGCCTTTAAATATTCGATGCACAAAACCTTAAACAGCCTTTGTAACTTGTTAAGCTTTTTAATAAAACACGCAGATTTATAGCTAAAACAATTTAAACCGGTTGTTGCTTTTTTGAAAACGTTTCGTTGTTTGTTTGTGCATTGTTTTCTTTGTTAAAACTTACAATGTTTTACTCTAACAGTAAATATTCAACGCTCTTGGTTTTATGTTTGCATAACACTATCTCGAAGGAGCGATTAGACTAACGATTAACATTCAAGTTCAAATGATGGCAGAAGCAATTGGTGTTTACTATTCACTAATGCCCAAACGATTGGTAAAATTAGTAAGGTAAACTGAGCTCTTTAGTCATGGATGGGAACAAATTTAGAACCAAACCAGATCTCAACTAAAAAGAGTGGGATAGAATTGGCGCTGGTATTTCCACCTAGGAAAACTTGTTATTCAAACACTATTCTGTACTGATCTGACAGGAGTGTTTTAACATAAGGAACCTTTAAACACGTTAAACTCAAATTTCGAAATTACTCTCAGGTAGAAGAATATGGGTAGGTGGAAATTATATCAAAATCTAATAAACGAGATGTTAGAATAAGGGGTGTTAACAGAGAAAGGCATAGGATTGGTCTAGAATTTACTTTATTTAAATGAAGGGATGGGTATGACGTGAGAAAATGAAGCAATAATTAAATTAAAACTGGTAATAAAAATTGTTGTAACCCAGAAAAGGCTACTGAATGAGGAATAGCCAAAACGGGGGTTGGGAATGAAATGGTAATCTTTCTAACATACAATACTCGCCAGCGGCGTGAAGTAGGTAAACCACTGCTAGTGATGGACTACTTAGACAGCGTATTACCCTCACTTACAATAGTGCCCAACGTATTTATGAGGATTGGGACATACGGTATACAAAAACTATAAATGGTGTTTTCTTTAAATTTGATCAGAACAATTTCAAAAATCTACCATTTATTTATTGATTTGTATATTTAACGGCATATCAGCTCCTTTATGGGCCATTCAATGCGAAAATTTAATTTTCTAGCGAGCTTTGAAGTAATAAAAATATATGTTATTCTGCTTTCACAATTGATTACATGGTAGATAATACACAGATTTTCTGTATATACATGTTTTTAGGTAAACCACTGCTAGTGGTGGAGTAATTAGACAGCTTATTACCCCCCCCCAACTTACAATAGTGTTCAACGTATTTATGAGGATTGGGACATACCCATATGCGTTCATAGGTACGGTGTATAACAAAACTAAAACCAAATAAATTACACCATTATCGTCATAAATGAAAACTCGATACTTAATCTGCCATACGTAACACTACAATTTATTCAACTCCAGACTTCGTCAATTCCCGTCGGCCAGAATTCTCGTGTGGAAATGAGAGTCTCTCTTCTCTCTTTGGTGGATGTTTATATATCTGTTTGTATACGGTTTTCCCCACGTGTGCACACGAAGCTGGGTCTACCACGTGTTTACCTGTCGAGTTTAGCTATTGACATCATGTGAGGCGCTAACCTGTACTTTGTGGATAGGAGGTTACCTTTCAGTCAACCCGCCGATTCACCTGGCATCTCTGATGTCACAATGTGCCTCTTCTGGCATCATCTGGGTTGAGTCACTACAATATTAATAGTAATCAACTGATTATTTACTAGGCTTAGCTGAAACAAAACGATAACAGTACAAGGGCACTAAGTGAGCCTGCGAAACGAAATTTGTAAACTTCGTGCTACGGTAGGTTTCTTAGATTCGTAAATATCGATTATATGTTTGCTTCATTAGTAGCTCAGATGAACATATTTTCAAGTTGTCTGGTCCGGTGTTGTCCTGAGCTTGAGGGAAACAAACCAATCAGAAAGGATATCGCGCTGCGCCTACCTCCCACTCCTGACACTTTTTTTCGTGTTTATTGGCTACGAACGATTCTTTTGCAGTTATAACATTATTACTAACAACATAAAACTTACCATTCGTCTTGTAAGAGCCAGCACTCACTCACTGTAATTCATATACGCACTGACTGACTGATCTCTGCTTTTGTTTTCATTTTTTTTTCTTTTTAGTACGCCGTCCGTTCGGATCGTACCATCACAGTACGTATTAAATAAATTCATCCGCCCGTAAGAAATATATGCATTTTGAATACAAATTATTGTAGTTCAGTTTTATTTGCATGAATCTATCTGTACATCTATCCATTTATCCATCTATCTATCTATCTATCTATCTATCTATCTATCTATCTATCTATATATATATATATATATATATATATATATATATATATATATATATATATGCTATAAAGCAATGACGTTCCTATACGAGACCTGATCAAAACGTATTGGGACTGGTGTTATAAAAAAAAACAACGCAATACAATTTGGCATCTAATCTCCTTCGAAGCCATATACCTTATCCAGCCTCATTTCCAGCCATACTTTATCCAGCCTCGTTTCCAGTCATACTTTATCCAGCCTCGTTTCCAGCCATATTTTATCCAGCCTCGTTTCCAATCATACTTTATCCAACCTCGTTTCCAGCCATATTTTATCCAGCCTCGTTTCCAGTCATACTTTATCCAGCCTCGTTTCCAGCCATACATTATCCAGCCTCGTTTCCAGACATACTTTATCCAGCCTCGTTTCAATTGATGGAAACCTTCTTGGAACTCTTTTTAGGGAATAAAGCGTAGGTGCCTCGTCGCAGTTTCTTGGATTTCCTCGACGCCTAGAATTATTGTTCTTTTCAAGTGGGGTTTGATTTTTTGGAAAGCGGAAAAAAATCGCAAGGGGGCGATATCTGAGGAATACGGTGATTGCGATACCATGGAAATGTTGGACTTGGCCCAAGCTGCTGCATAAGCTATGGTTACTGATGGAAACTTCGTGGTGTGATGAGACGATCACACTCTACACACTTTCCTTCCAAGTACTGCTATGAAAAAACGGAAGTGAGTAAGCACGTTATAACTTGAAAAGTGACGAAGAACATTTTACACTGTGCATGTGCCACTCTTCATACTTTATCTCCGTTATTATAGAAACAGATCCAGTACTTTTTGATCAGACCTCGTGCATACATATATCTGTGTGTGTGTGTTATCACTTTTTTTTGCGGGGGGGGTTACTGGTATTCGAATAGACGCACTGTTTATTTATTATACCGTATATTTATTTATTTTCACCTACCGGCCTGAGTATTCGAGAAATCATATTGCGCTCTCCATTTCTCGAATATTCAGGTCGGTAAACAAAATTAAATAAATATACTGTTTAATAAATAAACGAGGCGTCTACTCAAATACGAGTATCCATTAAAAATTACATTTAAATGATAAAATTTAAATAATAAAATCTGTCGGATTAATAAATAAAAAATCCAATCTCTTCTTTATATATATATATATATATATATATATATATATATATATTATAAATTAATTGATTTAAAATATGTTTTTTTCCGCTACACAGTTCTAACCATGTTTCAAAAAATGGAAGCTAAAAAAGCCACGAATTTAATTTTGCAATTAAATTAAAGACATTAGTTCCATTTCATCCTCAAGCGAATTTTGGAGTAACTTTTAAAATTACTGGGTTTTATAGACACAGCTAAAATCACGTTTCCATGGTTACAGATAAATCTACTTCAACTGGACGAGGGGTGTCTGGGTTTTTCCTTATGTCTGTATCATTGTATCGGTTATTAGCTACATTTTGGTAAGGGGTAAAAACATCCCTACCCCTTACCAAAAATGTAGCTAATTACTGTTCTTTCTTTTTATTTATATATATATATATATATATATATATATATATATATATATATATATGAAGAAATATACTCTTAAGGTATGCTATATTTATGGGATAAAGTGCTCAACATCAGAGAAAGAGCATATGTAAATATAAAAGTGAGCATTGAAGTCAAAAAGTTAGAGTTCGACAGGCTGTTTTATACTAGACGCAATCGTCAGGTGGCCTGACGATTGCGTCTAGCATAAAACAGCCTGTCGCCTCTAAGTGTTGACTTCAATGTTCACTTATATATATATATATATATATAATGGGTGACTGTATCAAAAATACTTTTACAAACTTTGGGGACGGGTTCCTCACACCAAAAAAAAGGACAAAATTCCATATAAACATATGTCCGCAAATCCTTCGCCTTTGAGTTGTTAAGTTTAAAGTTTACGGTAGATGCTGTTAAATGTCTAATCCGACAGACAATCCAAAAATACTTTTACAGACTTTGGGGTCGGATTCCTGACACCAACATAAAGTAAAATGTCCACATAAACAACAACTTATAACAAATGTTCAAAATTCCCCCCGCCTTGCTTCTACACACGCATGCACCCGTTGGATCATTGACTGGCGGACCATTTCAAACACTCCTCGTTTTGGCGTGAGGAACCTGCCCACCCCCAAGTTTCTAAAAGTATTTTTGATACACCATATATATATATATATATATATATATATATATATAGACAGGGATTTCTTTCTTTCATAGAAATTGCATTAAAAGAACTGCTAATTTATTTTGTATTAATTTGTTCTCTTCGTTCTTGGTGCTTGACATCAGAAGCGAGGATATTAAAATACCGTTCGAATTCTAAGCGATTTCGTTTTTCATGAGCAATTTTTTCAAAGAAATATCGTCTTTGTTTTGCTATAAATACTTGTGAAGCTTTTACGTTTAGTTACGCATTATATAAATGTTGGTTTTAACATCACACCGTAATGCGTTGGTTCGTGTTAGATTTATTTCTAAAATTATCTCAACGTATTTTTAGCACGACAAATATAATCTTTGAAAAATGGCTTACGAAAGCCGAAAGATCTTAGAATTCGCACAGCCTAGTCCTGGTGTCAAATCACACAGAGAAAGAAAGGAGGAATAATTAATATTTATTATAGTAAATAGTAATTATTAGCTGGTGATATGAAACTTGATGGGAAGTGGGTAAAAACGGAAAACATAATTACCTTCTAAGTATCCGATAAAAGGGTGTCCACTCAAAAATGAAAAAAAAGGAAAAATTCCCCGTAAACAACTTAAATAAAGTTCACACCATTGTGATTGGCTATTGGTTAACCTCCAATCAAATGCGTGATAACGAGGTATATTTATAGAAGTCAGTGTCTACAAGCATTTTTTAGAGGGTGTATCAGAGTCCGATCAGCTCTGATAGGGTCGACTTGGTGAGGTCAGTATGATGTTTGAAAGACCCGAAACTGCCCAATGATCCAAATCAGAACATCACTGACGACGCCATCTAGCGCTAAAAGAGCGTATATTCAAAGCAATAAGTAATTAACAAAATGCTTCGTTATTTTTAATATAACTGAAATATATATATATATATATATATATATATATATATATATATATATATATATTAATTGAATTTAAATAGAAAACAGACAACTTTAAGGGTCCATTCGTTATAATTTATTTCTCCAGTTAAATAAATTGTAACCAATGAACCCTTATGGCTGTCTGTTTTCTATTTAAATTGAATTAATAATTACTCTGATTTGACATTGAGCTCTCTGGATTACATCCTCCTTGGGATTATCCATACGGATTACCAAACTTTTCATTACTTATATATATATATATATATATATATATATATATATATATATATATATATATATAACTTAAGCATTATTTTTAGTGAGTACTCGTATTTGATAGAACGTCTCATTTTTTAAACAGTAATTATTTCGTTTACTGGCCTATGCATACGAGAAAACGTGCCCTTCGGTAAGATTCGAACCTGTTTCTCTGTACGTAAGAGGAATCGCCGTCTGATCTGGCGTTCTTTGAATCACTCGCCTACAGAGGGACTTACTGCCAAGCAAATTTTTATTTACCTTAAAACAATATCTTTCTCGAAAGCCATAATTGCTCAGTTTCTTATCCGAATCGTAAACAAACTGTAAACAATTCTCAAATGTACAGGCCAATAGACGCAATAAACACTATTTGAATGATTAAAAATAAATGTATATATATATATATATATATACATATGTGTGTGTGTCATCTGTCATTTTGTAAGTCGTGTTGTCGTAACATGAGTTGCATGAGTGAACATGTACATTAGGAAAATATATTTTCTATCAATCTGCGGCATGCAGTGTCTGATAAGTTGTGAAGCTGTCTCTATTATGTGATGAAAAAGACTGTCTTTTTGTCTGTTTGTTTTTAGGGCAAAACAAAAAGGTACTGTTTTGTCTTTATACTGTTCATAGCAAGATATCACTAATTTCGAACAATAACCAGCCTCATTACCTCGCTAAAATTATGCAATTACAGGACTTTGTGCGTTAAAACCTTCTCTTTCATTTACAACTTAGTAATAACTAGCAGTAGAGTCCGGCGTTGCCCGGGTATGTAACAGTAAGAGATAGATCAAGTATCGACCATCATAAAGACTGAAAAATAAAATTGACAAAGATTATTGTTTAAGGTTGACGGACACGCATGTCTTAATTAGGTTTTTTTTTTTTTTTTGGTTTTTTGTTTTGTTTTGTTTTTTTACGAATTGGTCAAACCCAAACTTAAACAAAAACATTGTTTTCAATCGTTATGAGTCTACCGATTGAATAGAATTTTATTATAAACAATTGTCTTGTAAATGGAATTTTTAAAGCATTCTGAATGTAAAAATAAAGAAAAAAGTGTACAAAACAATAAGAAACACTACCTGCCCAAAAAAGTGAAGTTTTGTTGAAATCGGTTGAAAAATGTAGGAAATCCGATCCCATATATAAACGAACACGCACACACACACACACACACACACACACACACACACACACACACACACACAAACACACACACAAACAAACAACCTCGGTTTTATAATAAGTATAACTCAATAACTCGATATTAATAAGTATAACTCGATAGGAGTTGTCCTCCTTTCATTAATGCCTCTTAATCGTGTTTTCAAATTGATTTTGTGCAAAAACAATTGTGTTTTTCCAATTTTTGGCGCTTTCAGAATCACCGCAAGGTAATTTTACGTAGTCCTGTGAAGTTTTGTTGAAATCGGTTGAAAAATGTAGGA